AAAAGTTTTTGCGAACCTACAAAGCACGAAATTAACAAATAGGTTGCAATGTGCCTGACGAACTAGCGCTATTATGCAATTCTGTCTTTACTGCTTCGGGCTCAGAATAAGGCGAAATGATAAGCTATATCAATTTTACGACTCTGCGCAAAAAAGTGGTACAATATACAGTAAGCTGGTTCCTTGCATGGTAAAATGCAGCGCAGCCATTAGTGGAAAATGCAAGAGCATAACATATGCGATGAAGAAATGCTAAATTATGAGGCCACACTTTATATTTTCTGCGTTTAAGACGTAGAATGTGGAGGCTAATTTACAGTTTGTGGGACACTATACATTGTTGTGAATAAAGTTCCAAATTTTAACCTTCTAGCTTTCACACTTCTGAAGTTGAATCATCACCACAAACACATAAACACACATTATGCAAACAAGCAGGCATGCACATGCGCATACAAATACCGGAACCTCTCTTCAATATGTGTTCTCTATTTCATGACATAAGCAAAAAAAAACGCATAAAAAAGTTTAAAGCGAAGATTGCCTTGCTTCATCTGAAAAAGCTATTTGCAGATGAAAAAAAAAAAAGCATCAAATGGGATTCCACAACAAACAGAGCAATGCTAATGTGTAAAGGATGACGACGATGATGTTGATATTTTCCAGACGAAAAGCTTTCATCCCTGTTCAGCTTACATCCCACAAATCGCCTAATCATCGCCATTTGCAAACACTGACTCAACCAGGATACTTACGTGTGCTCGTCGTTCTCTAGGAATGTCTTTTTTTACAGAAAACCTCAAAGTTTTTTTTTTTAAATTTTATGAAAGATTCTGCACGAATGCAGTCAGAGGATGGAAAGTACGCCTAGTTACTCACTCTATGCAAAGTGGATTCGAAAATGCTTGCAAGTGAGATGTATAGCTATATCAGAGGCTCTGCAGTAGTATTTTTTGGTAGGAAAGAAAAACTTGAAAGAAAGACAAAAAGAATAAAATTTCAATCGAAAAGCAAGGCGCTGTAAATTAAGTAAATATAACTGATTATTGAAAAACTGAGAGTTTTTTTTTAAAGAAGTTACTTTTACAAATCATTGTTTGTCCCGGAACCAGATTATCTGGACTGCCTCGGTGTTTATGAGGTGTCATCAAAAACAGGTAAATACCAAAGTAAAAAATAGATACATTTCAACTGAGCTAAAGGCTTCAAGACTTTTGAACTCAACTGCTGCTGGCTAATATTTTTTGACCTGGAATACATATTAATAAGCAAACCCATTTTTTGAAGCCTCCAAGAAATTTCGTCATCTGCATAATTCTTGCTGCCACTACTGCCACCGCTCCTCACTGGTCGTTCCGGAAGACGTCTCTTATCGTCGACCAGAAGGCGCGAACTGCTTACATCAAGTGATTTCGGTTTTGGTGCAACTGCTGGTCGATTTGACATTCTTGATAATGCAGAACTCGATTTCTCCAATCCACTGTAACACTCTTCGTATGTTCTTATAATGTTGATGCGGTTAAAAAACTTTTAATGCCATGAAACATTCCTGTTTATTTTTCATGCAATGACACTTTCATGAAATACTCCCGTCATTGTAAGAAACATTCCTACGTCATGACACGAAATATTCCTGTTTCCCCATGCGTGCATTTGTAGTGGTACGTTAAAGCACAATGAGGAATGAATGGCGGAAAGTCAGATTCTTTTTTTTTAGCGTCTCCTTATGTTTTCACTCCCCTCTCTCTGTCCTCTTTCTTTTCTCCCTCTCCACCCTTCCCCCTTTTTTCCGCTCCCCCCCCCCCCCCCCCCCCCCCCCCCCCCC